AATTAAACTCATCATCTTACAGTACTCATTGTGAATCAAAATTCACAGTGGTACAAAGGTACAAAATTATTACTACTTCTATTTCCTAGCCCGTGATCAGACATCGTACTGTCACAGCAACTTCTATCAGGAGTGTAGCTTTCATTGCACCGAGTACAAGGTTGTGATGGGGAAGTGATAGGTAGCAACTAGTTTCTGTAGAGTAATCACTACATTTTTACAGTTACTTTTGCAATTATTCCCAATCTACAGTCCTTCCCAGGGTAACCTCTGTTATCACACCATGGTTATGAAATGTGATGCTCCATATAGTGGAGTGCTTGTGTCAGTAAGCCAATTTCTGTGGCATCTGTTCTTCAGCACGGAGGAAGACAGTAAGAGCTGAGTGGTTCACAGTGAAGTATTACAAGTCTTTGCAGTGTGGTAATGTGTTCTTAGCCTCCCCCCTCAGCTCCATGTGGTGGTTCACACAGCAACAGCCGTCCTGTGCTGCTGGGGTTCCTTCATGCCCTAGAATTGCTTTTGGTCCCTGTACTGCCAGCACTGATGTTTCTGAATGTCCTGGCCCAGCCTGCCTCAGGCCCTGCTCTGCTCTGCTCACTGCTTGAAAAGGCTGGATGTATTTTTCTGGAATAAGATCTCCATAACTTTTGTGAGCTGTGCCTCTGGCCAAGGATTGGCTTCCCATGCTGTGGGGAGAGCTGTGGAACATGCAAAGCTCCTGACATCTCATTAGGGACTGACTCTTCATCAGGGAATGCAGCGATATGGCAAGGGGTGATGGGTTCAAACTTAAACAGGGGAAGTTCAGGTTAGATATAAGGAGGAAGTTCTTTACTGTGAGGGTGGTGAGGCCCTGGAATGGGTTGCCCAAAGAAGTGGTAAATGCTCCATCCCTGGTAATGTTCAAGGCCAGGCAGGACAGAGCCTTGGGCAGCATGGCCTACTGTGAAGCCTCACTGCCCATGGCAGGGGGGTGGGACCTAGATGATCTTAAGGTCCTTTCCAACCTAAACCCTTCTATGATTCTATGATTTTCCTCTCATGCTGCTCCCCAAGAGAATTTGGAAGGCTTTATCCCCATCTATGTATACATACCTCTTGTGAAACCATTCTATGTGGCCAGATTTACTGTGTGTTTCAGACACTTCTTAAAACAGGTAATGGAATTTTTTAACACAGTTTCTGCACAGCCGATATGGTCCCTGGCTCTCAGGGAGGGTGGAAGAATTCTGCAGCTGAGTTATAATAAGGAAGAAAGAGGTGACTGTGACACAGCAGGAAGGGCAGAGTGACCTACACCAAAAATACAAACTGCTCTACCCCAAGCAGCCAGGATTTTTGAGGACATGGAGTCACTGGCAAACTGCCTGTCAGTGGCTATAGAAATTCTTCCTTGGATATGGATTTCCAAATACCAAACGGAAATATATTATTTATGCAATTATGAATTAACTCAGTCATGCAACAGCTTTGGTTGGGCAGGAGATTTTTTTCAGCTCTGATGAGCATCCCTACTTTCTCAGCCCTGTCCTTCCATCAGTGAGCATTGTGCAGTGTAGGACTCATTTCCGGCATTAGCACTGTGCAGGGGTGGTGGAGGTAACTGCTCAGGGAGGGAGGGACATGCTGGTAAGAAAGTCCCTATGCACAAAAAATAATATCCTGTGTCTAGGTCTTGGATATACTTTCTCCTATGCCCGTCAGCAGCTGAACCAGGAAAAGTCCAGCTCCTCCGTAAGTCATTTCCTTGCCTGCTCTCTGCTGAAGAAGGAGAGAAATGAAGATGGATTTGCATCTACAAAGAACAGCCAAGAAAAGTCTGTTAGGAAACACTCATAGTCTGTCAGAACAATGAAGTTATTTGCTCGGAGCCAAATGCCCCTCTTTTTCTGACTAAAGCACTATCAGTAATGACAAAAATAAACAAAAAAATCCAGGAAATACAGCATTTGCCCCATTTGAATATTTATTTTTTTTTCCCCCCATCTGCAGTCTCCCTTGGTTGCTGCTCATCTGCTTTTCAACAAAAGTGAAGTTGCTCTTCTTTTAATGACTTTTTAATTCCTTTGGCATTTCAAACAGATTGGATGAAAACTTTAGTGCTCGAAGTTTTGAATTTCCGTCAAGTTTAAAGTGGTCAGAGGCCAGAGGTCCTGTAGAGCTGCAGAGAAGTGTCACTACTGATCTTCAATGTGAAGTGATGGTCATTTAATTTTATTTCATCTTATTTGGTTGGTCTTATGGCACACAGAAATGCAAACACAGCTTGGAGCTACCCCAGGCATGCTGGGTCTGGGCTGGTGGAGTGGATTTGCAGACTGTGTTACTGGGGAGGAAGGAAGGGAAGGTCCCAGACAGTGTGGGGCAACTGAAGGCATTCCAGCTGGAGGAATAGGAAGGTCATGGGAAACAGAGAAACTCTTCCCACCTCCCATCCTGCTCATCTCTGCTACCGTCAGCCTTCAGACACAGATTGTAGATCTGATACAATTAATCCTGCTTCCTCACTTCATTTTCTTATTTCAATTGCTTGACATGCTTTCTCTTGCACATTCCATGAGCACCTGAGCTCAGGATTTGAGATGTCTTTTGATACAGCTAGTTCCTCCTGGCCCTTTAAACCTCAGTCTTGTGTGCGCAGAGTGTTCAGGGAGCTCTTATTCAATCAGCTTCCCTAATTTACTAGCAGTCTCTCTCTTTTCTGGATACTTTAAGGCCATTAATGTGTATCCTTTAGCACTTCAGCTGAAGAAAAGAGCATCTCATCTATGTTGACCACAGGAGATGTCTCTGCCTGTAGAAAGCATCTTGACATGGGAGAAGCAACTGGCGTAAAGTACTTTGTAGTGTGTGAAGTCCTTGGAATCTGAAAATCTTCTTGGCCTCTCCACCCAATGGTTAATTATGACTGATGGTAGTAATTGATATACTTAGAGCAGTTAGCCTCTGCACATACTTAACATTTTGAAGGAGGTCATTAATAAATAAAAGTGGCTTGGACTTCCTAAATTCACGTTAGCTCTACTAAAGCCAAACAAAACAAAACCTAAAATTTTCATTAAATTAGAAGGCCAGCAAAATAGCAGAGGTTAATTTTGTAAATGATGGATCTAAATCTTTGGGAAATCTTCCAGTGCATCATCAAGTGAGTTTTATCACATGGATTATATGCATGAGCCTTCAAACTGACACAAGGTGACAGCAGGTAGAGGATGACGAGTCCCAGTGTCAAAATGAAGAGGAAGATATGTATGGGAGCTGACATGAGGTAGCCATCTCCTGTGCTCCCAGAAGTTTGCATTTAGAGGTGCACCCCAAGCTGACGACAGCTTGCTCAGAGTATGGCTGGCTGCTGGGAGCTTCCAGGCCAGTGACAGGCATCCTGGAGGCTCCAGCCCTTCACAAAGGGCTTGAGACAGTCATTGTAACAACAGAACTTCTCATTAGCCTGATGAGTAACTTTTGGTTTCCAGGATTTTTTGTTTTGTTGGGATTTTTTGAATTCATTGCCTCTTTAGCTCTCCTCCATGTGCTGTGTGGATACAAGAACGGGACTGGGTGGATAGGGGTGGAGAAAAGGAGCAGAGGAAAAAGTAGGATAGACGGATGGGAAAACAACACCATTTCTGCTGGTCACAGGAATCACAGGATCTGCTTGGCTACCAGTGAAGGATCTGAGGGGAATTCCCTGAGACAACACAGGAGGAAACTGACTGCAAGGCAGGTGAAAATGCAGAGTCTAAGGGGAGCAACACTTCAGAGATCAGACATCTAAGTTCTTTGCAACTCTTTAGCAGGGCTCAGGCTCAGATCAAGCCACCACTTTTGCACTGCTGCTCATCAGTGGAACCATGGTGCATGTGGCTGGCTGCATGTATAGAAAATGCAGTGTGGGAAGACTCATCTCTGACTTACTCAAGAGTGCCTTGAGTTAAGGTGTCCTATTCCACATGTACTATGGTCTGCAGTCATGGTCATGGACAAGCCAGGCAAGATTGTGTAACTCAAACCTATGCCTTGAGACTGACTATAAAGCATAAGCTTTACAAAAGTGGACTCCACTGGACTTACATCCTCATACGACCATTTCCTCTAATCTTTTTTTTTTTTTGGTTGGTTGGTTTTTGTTTTGTTTAATTTTTTTTTTTTATTTGGTTTACAAGAAACAGGATGCTTTTGAAAACTGAAGGGGCAAAAAATCCTGAAGGAAAAAAAAAAAAGATTGTGGACACACTTCAATTTAAGCCAGTGACTTGTGGTGTCACAAGCAGAAGAGAGCTCACACAGCCTCAGCTGGTCATTTTGATACTTAAAGTTTTTACAAAAAAAAAAAAAAAATTGAAGTTTTGTGTTCAAATGCTATCAGTACTTAATGGCTACCAAATTACATTTATTTTAAAACCTTAACTGGTCAGACAAATGTAATGTGGCTCCTGGTACACACAGACAGAAGCCAGCTGCAGAACGTCATTGCAGCCTATATGGCTGTAAAATTTTGCAGTGTCCTTAGGCACACTTCAGTCATCAAACTGTCATATTTATGTTTTGCTTATTGATTGAGTAGGGTAGATGAATTCTGTTCACTTTTATTGTTTAAAAATTATTTGTACATCAGGACTTTTATTATTAGCAGTCTAAAAGCAGAAATCAAGAGAAAATGTGTATGACTTCTTTCCCAAATGACTGAATATTTTTCTTCATCAGTAAACTACAGGGTTTAGCTAAACTGCCTGATGAAAGAGTACACCATATAGGATTGAGAGCATAAAAATATGCCGTTCAGACTAAACTAAAACATAAAACAAGCTTTGTTTTCTAGATAACATACAAAACCAAAGTTCTGCAGTACCTGAATCTCAGTCCTTTTACAAAAAAGTAAACAGTTACTCTAGCTTCCCTCAAGCTCCAGATTGTGCCTATCTAAATTGAGCTTTATTCTGTACCTGCCAGTTTCAGATCCTTGCAACGTCCTGTCTCTCTTCTGTATTTATATGCAGTTCCAGTGAGCGTATTTGAGCTCCTGGATCAGTCCCCTGGGTTTCAGCAGGCAGATGAAGAGGGGGTAGCTGTAAGAAAACAGGATTTCAGACTTCTTTTCAGAGAGTAGGTATAAATAATACAAAGAAAAACCAAACACAAGTGTAGCTGTACTTAGTATGAGCTCTCCTTCTGCCTGCTCTCAGCTGTGGTGTGTTCCTGGAGATGGTCTGCATGAGCATCACCGTATCCACTGGGGTGTTTTGGAAGGTGGTCACTGTGTTTGTATTTGCTTTTTTTAAAATTACTTAAGAAGAGCTTAAAATGAGGATTGAAGTGATGACATTCTATGGAAGTACCTCAAAGCCTTTGAAAATAAGCTCTGGTCCTTATGGATTTTGCCCAATAGCTGCAAAAACGCCATTTCAACTCCAAAGCCATTACTAGGAGCAATGCCCTAATATCAGCCCTGTGTGGAGAGGTAGTTATGGCTTATGGCATTCCAGGGATGAATAAGCGGTGCACAGAAGCATCAAAGCCCCTGGTACAAGAGACAATCTGGAGAGACAGGGTTGTCCACCTGTCTTACTGTGGACAGAAGATAGCCAACAGTCCCACCCCTTGGTTTTGCTTGCCATGAGTGGTGTGACACTGGGGTTTTTGATGTTCACAGGAGAGACGCTTCCCCTCCTCCTTGTCCCGGAGACAAGGCTCGCCTGCTGCAGCAGAGGTTATCCAGCCAGGAACGGACCCGGGCTTTCCTCCTCCATCAGGCTTTCCAAACCCATGGTGACATCATCGCTTACCTCCAGGGAAGCAAAGGTTATCAGCATGGGGAGACTGCTGCCTGGCATCTGCTGGAAAACCACATCCAGACCATTACAAGCATTGTTAAAAAGCTCAGCCAGGACATTGAGGTAACACATGCCGAGGAGCATTTCCCTGTCTTAGTGGTGCAGCTCTAGCTTGTGGTCCATTCAGTGCTAATATTGGCTTCAGGAGCAGAAAAGTACTCAACATGGTTGCTGTGTTTTAATTAAATTCCAAGTTTTCTTGTATAGGGTGTCTTGCAGTTACCTGTGAAAACAGAGGCGACAAGGGGAAGTAAAGTAAAAACGTGTAACATCAATAATCAAGTTTGAGTTTACTTCTTAGTTTTTCCTGTTGAAGATGTTCTACTACTTTATGTAAACTTCTTCATCAAACATAATAAAATATTGCTGAAACTTTTCACAAAGATCAGTGCAGACTGGAATGAATGTTCAGGTTAACATTATATTTAAACTGACGGATCTGTGCTGGAAGTGCATGGGATGCCTTTTTCTGGTTGAAGGCCTCTGATTATTTGCTGTTGCTTATTAAATTTGTATTTGAAATTTACCAATAATTTTTCATGGCAAAGATGTAAAATACCAAAATGTCATGAAATAGACTTCTCCAGAGATTTGTTTTGTTCTTTATAGCGTTAAATGTCTTAAAAATACCACTTAAAATCACAATACATTCTGTTTCATGTGCTTGGAGAAATATTTGACCTTCTGTACATCTATCTTCAGAAGTATGCAATCATGGCTCACCTAAAGTTAATCTGAATTTAAACAAGGGTCTATGTACATTTTATACTGATTTTATTTTCTATATTTTGATACTATGGAGATAAGCAATGCTATAAAACTGCTTATTTGTTTTAGACCATCTAGCTCCTCTAACTCTATCCAGATCAAGTATATACAAGACTGTTTTGCTTGAAAAATACATAATATGTTATCTAAACCTAATCTTTTCCCTTAGTTGTAAATTACTTTTCTCTGGGCCCTAATCTCAGGTGTGTGCTTGCTTTGTAGGTTTCAGTTGTGAAGATTCAGTCAGGGTAGAGCACTGACAGCACAGGAAACAGCACAGTGAGACATGTCAATCAAAGCCGCTATAGAACTAGTGGGGGTTTGAATTGAACCTGGCATACAGGAAATGAGAATGGCTCAGCAATGTCGATTTCTCAAGCACTTAAAAAAGAAACGATCCGCCAGGAAATGTGACTCACTTGTACTCCAGATCTTCCCCAAAGCAGAAATATCCCTCAAAAAAGCCTGTCTCGGGGAGGATGCTGGCATGCCATTGCCACCCAGAATGAAGCTGAGCCTGAGTTAAACACAGACCTCTGCTAGAGCCAGAAAATAATCCTGGCTGCTGCTTCATCTGGGGTGTTAACACAATTAGTGCCAGGTGGGAAATGACCTGACCTTTGACAAAGACATCCTTCATGATCCCAGGAGAGAGCTGCAAATTGCAAGAGAAAACCATTAATACTAAAACCCCAGAGGCAGAGGGAGGTGTTCTCGTCATCACCTCTGATAAAAACCGTACAGGACGGGCAGAGAATGGGTTGAGAGCAGTCCTTAGGAAAAGGTTTTGGGGGTGCTGGTCAATGAGAAGCTCCCTATGACCCAGCTTCAGTATGCACTTGAGCCTAGAAACCCCCATGTGCTGGGCTACATCCAGCAACACCTGGAGCTGTTGGAGCGAGTCCAGAGGAGGCCATGGAGATGCTGTGAGGGCTGCAGCAGCTCTGCTCTGGAGCCAGGCTGAGAGAGCTGGGCTGGTTCAGCCTGGAGAAGAGAAGGCTCCGGGAGACCTTAGAGCAGTTCCCAGTGTCTAAAGGGTCTACAAGAATGCTGGAGAGGGGCTTTGAACAAGGGCCTGTAGGGACAGGACAAGGGGGAATGACTTTAACCTGACAGAGGGGAGACTGAGATCAGATCTTAGGCAGAGGTTTTTCCCTGTGAGGGTGCTGAGGCCCTGGCACAGGTTGCCCAGAGAAGCTGTGGGTGCCCCATCCGTGGCAGTGTTCAAGACCAGGCTGGACAGGCTTGGAGCAACCTGGTCTAGTGGAAGGTGTCCCTGCCTGTGGCAGGGGGTTGGAACTGGATGAGATTTAAGGTCCCTTCCAACCCAAACCAGTCTGGGATTCTATGATAAAATAACCACATCTGAGCCCACAGACTCAGAGGTGACCATCAGTCACAAGCGCCAATCTGTCTTTTGCCCAGGGGTGGTGAACTTGGGGTGGGAGTGCTCACAGGAGCCCAGGAAACTTGCTGGAGAAGGGGAATATTGATCTCCCATGACAGACAGTGAGCTGCTGCTTTCCACTGTCATGAGTGAGTGTCTCAGGCTGATTCTGCCAGTGAGGAAGTGGTGGTCCTATTTTGTGCCTCTGTCTTCATGGACTTGCAGCATCAGACTTGAACCACCAAATGCACTGACAAAAACACTGGGGCACTGCGGTACATTCAGCTTTCTGAGAACATTATTTTCTGATGCAGAACACAAATAAGAATGCCTGGAATACTAAGTATTTCAGTTACCCATACTCTGTATATGAGGGGAAGGAAGGGAGGCGAGGATTATTCAGGAATAACTGAATAAATGACAGATTTGAGTTACATTTTACTCCAGAGTTATTACACCTCTGTCCACTCGCCTGTGCCTAATTTTGATCAGTTCTGTAGTATCTCCCTTTGCTGTCTCAAGCAAAGAGACTTCCAACAGGAGAGTGGTGCTGTATGAGACTCAGCGCTACGGGTATGTCCCTGTGCCACCACACCTGCCCTGCTTGCAGCCAGCCAGGAAACATTACCCCTGGCTCTGTTTGCAGGGGCATGTTCAGATACATAAGCTCAAGGCATTGTCACAACCCTGCTGACACCCAGCAGGACTGTCCTGTGTCCTCTGACAGCTCCAGCAGTGGGATGACCTGGGCAAACCCAACTGCAACAACTACCCCAAAATTTAAGCATATACAGTTGAAATTTTCCCTGATATTTTTCTTTTTCTATTTTTTTTTTAATTCACCCAGTGGGGAGCATTTTAAATAAAAAGCCAATAAAAGCATCTTCTTTTTTTGTGTAAATAGGATATTTGCATGAAAAAGTGTAAAAGCTGTGTTTTGACCACGTGAAGTGCTCTGTAGTGCTGAATTACAGTGAAATATCACCCCAAGGGGTTTCCTTTCAACCTGAAAAATAAAATCAGGAGATCATTCTCCTGATCCACGTACCTGGAAAAGGTTACAGGGCATAAGGGCTTCCTAATATTAATGCCTGTGACACACTCAGGTATCATCAGGATAAGCCACTTCAGAAGAGTCTGATCTTTAGATCAAACTTATATTGTGCAGTATATGAGGTATCAGGCCCCATACTGAACAACAAGGGTAAAAGAAGACATTAAAGAGCTGCGTATACTGACCCACATCCTTATTCAGAGGTGGGTGAGTATATCCATAATATACTTCAACAGTGGGACCTGCTGATATAAATAGTGCTTTGAACCTTATTTTTAAACGAAAGAAGAACCAAAAACCCCAAACTAAAGCAACAAACCAACAAAGCCAAAAGCAGAAAGCCAAAAGTGCATTAATGGAATTGAATTTTCAGGTTTTGGAGTGGCAAATCAGAACAAGGGATGGTGCTGCAGCAGAAACTAATTTTGCAGTTCAAACTCTGGATCATAAATACAGCCAGTGTCTTGGGGACCTGCGTGGCAGAGTGGCAAGGTAAGGAATGCATCATGGCCCTGATTTTCATCTCCACTAGTCGACTTGTGCAGAGCAGATTCAGAGTGGGCATAAATGTACTTCACACTCATTTTATATCTCCATTTTAGTGCCAGATCTGTTCTTTCATGCTCTTTGTGTTAGAAACATTACCAAACCGGGGAAAAGTAACTATATTTTCCTGTCTCATTCTTCATCACATGCCTAACATTTTGGGGATATTTTTCTTCTTCAGTCTGGCTAGACTTCAGCTGAAGTGGTTATTACCTCCTACTTAAACCCTCCTGTTGTTTCAGTAAGACCTCCTATCTTGGAAAGTAGGCCTTGTTGAACAAACCCGATTTCTCCTTGTGGTGGGATTTTAAGTTCTTATTGGTACAAGTAATTGCATGTATGTATCATAGGTGGACTTCCATGTGGCATTCTGTAACACATAATATTATGATGAAAAGAAAGACAAACTGAAATTCTGCTATATAATATCAAGATAATACATGAATTAAGAACTGTCTGAACTAATATATGGGGAAAAGTAACCATTAAGGAAGAAACCTCCCTGAACTGTCATATTTGTAATCATTTCTTTCCTCCAGAGTCCAGTCATATGCTCGTTATATAAAAAACTGCTACTGACATTTGTGGATAACACAAAATTGGTCAAGTGAGGACAAGATGGTAACAGAGACTAACCAGGAATGTTGGTAATGTGGCCTGACTGAGGAAAAAATGTACTTTATAAACCCAACAAGAGATTGTTTCACAACTGAGTGCCCCCTGAAAAGTCTGGGGAACTTAATAGTGTGTCACCAGAAATGCCAGGAATATGGTCTTGGATGAGAGAAGCAGAGAACCAGTAAACACAGAGGTTGTTTTAGCTCTACGCATGGCACACATATTGATACCAGAAAACTGCACTGATCTAGAGTCCACATAGTGAAATTAAGAATTTGATACCGTATAAAAAAAGGAGCCAGGAATGTGGAGGTGGGATGAGGAAAATTTCTGGCTGAGGGAAGTATACATCTATGTATAGTTTATAGAAAAAAAAAATAAAATAAAATCCAGAGATGTCTTCATTTCCACGTGTAACTACCAAAAAAGAAAGAAAGAAAAAAAAAATCACAGGATACTGAAAGATTCCAGACTACTGCAGAGAGACCCACGAGTACAAAACAAGAAGACGCAGCCAACACATTCAAAGTTGGCAGGAAAAAGATGGTGTTTTTTAACCTTGTGGTTGATGAGCATTGGAACAAAGTAGGCAGGTGATTCTGCAAGAGTCTTCTGCTTCTGTTTTCAAATTCAGGTCAGCAGACACTCTAGACAATGCTTTTAAAAGCTGTAACTTTCCATCTCATTCCTCTTTCCCCAGCCTTTTCCTAGGAGTGAATACTTCTCTTTGTCAGTTGGGGTTTGCTCCCATCATCTGTGCTTGAGCATTTGCCTGCAGTAGAGGAAAGCAAAAGCATTTGGGGAAAACAGGATAATTCTGGGGGAAAAAATTACCAGTCCACTTCTATTTCCAAAAAGAAAAATGAAATCAATAGAAGAAACAACAAGAGGTTGAGGACTCCTGGAGGTCCATGGCAACAGTTTTATGAGGTCACTCTTCCCCTTCTTTCCTTGCCCATTTTTGCAGCGTGTTGGTTGGCCTTTCCCACAGGAAGAAGTGAGGAGCCCAAAATACATATTGCACATAAAAACTGTAATGAGAACATCAAAGTAATCATCTTATGATGCTGGAAACTGAGTTGTTAGACCCCATTTAGTTTTAAGGTGAGGGAAAGGAAAATGACAGGTTTTCTAGCTTCACCAGAAACTACGGATATTAAAGAGTGATGTCTTAGCAGCAGCTCTAGCTATATTGTAATGCAGTTTTATGCGAAAGGTTCCCATTAAACTGAAGTGTGGTATAGTTTCATGGGAGTCATGAATCATCAGCACTTTGTTTTTCTTGCTGCTGAAGTTGCCCTCTGGAAATGCCAAGCCTCCATGGCATACCTGCCTTCAGCATCACAGCAGAGGAGTGAGCCAGAACTGACAGGGGACTGACATTACAGTGGTGATTAATATTTTGGTTTTTCACATTTCTTTGCTCTTGAGGTTCAGGATTTAAAATTGCTATGTATATTAAGTAGAGCTCAGAGTGGCCAGAGACAAATGCACATGTTCATATGTCTATTGCATTAATAGAAAACTTCCAAAAGCAAACTTGCAGTGACAGCTTTCTTCTTGATTTGTAGGCTAACCTTAATCCAAGGCTATCTGGGATGAAATAAGCCACTGCTCTTTCTCAAAGCAGATGATTCATCCTCCTGTATTCCGCCATGTATAAAGGATTAAGTGGATTAGCTCTTGAAATTCAAATTGTGTCTATTCTCTTATTCTATGTTTGCCTGAAAAATAGATTTAGATCTTTTGCCAGCTACTGTTGTAGTTGTCCATTAATGCTGGGACTTACATTTCTACACCATGTAAAACATGTAAGTGCCAAGTAGCAGTGAACTTTGAAAAAAAACCCCATGCTTCAGCATCTCAGCTATAGTGGTATTCCCATTGGATTAACTATATATTTTATTTGTATTCTAGCTCTTAATAAGACTTCATTTGGGCATGGGAATATGTATTATAAGAATTAGGCAATCAACTGTAAATAAAGCCCCTCTTCTGATAAATATTAAGTCACTCTCTTCAGCCTCACTGACAAAAGAACAAATGAATGCACAAATGAATGAACAGTGCACTGTATGCATATGCTTACTTCGTACTTCTGTACTTATTTTTTTCATTAGCATTTTTGTTGTTCAGAGAACAAGTCCAACACAGATTTAGACAATAAAAAGCCCCGGTGTGTATCTGTGAAGTTACTAGATCCTTCATAAATGCTAATTGGCAAGTGCAGCAGTTCAGTATGTACAGTTTCTTCCATGACTTTGGAGTATCAAGCTCTTTGAACATATAGCATTATTCCCATATTTAGTTAAATGGTTTGACATAACCATCAGAGGCTTGTACTTCTTTATACTTTTTAATTTAAAAGCGAATCTAGGAGCATGCTTTCTGTATTGTTCCCAGTTCATCTGCACTGCTTCTTGCACGCTTTCCAGGCTGTTTTGTATGACTAGAAAACCATGATCTCACTGCAATCTGTGAATGTCTCCTAAGTGAAATATTAAATTAGAGCAAGATTTAAGCAACTCCTAAGTACCCCTGTTCTCTTCCACACTCAATCTGCTAAACAGCGATAATGCATTTAACTACTTTGCCATAACAATTATATAAATTATATGTAGGGAAAATGAGATCTGAGCAGGCCCAGAGACTTAAGGCACATCAACAGTTCTGAAAGTCTTTGTGAAGCCTGCTATGTCTGCAAGATCCCCAGTCAGGGCTCTGATCCCTCAGGTCAGAATTATGACCCCTCTGGTAATAATGAAGGCTGCAAATGTAATTCTTGAGCTCTTTGGGTCCTGACTTCAAATCCTTTAAGTATTCTTGGCATAGAATATTCAGGTTTCTTTCTCTGGTAACTGAAGTTAGGTATTCTTACTGCTACAGATCCATTAATCCTCTTCTTTCTCAATGTGCGCTTCTTGCAAAGACTTGCCAGTGCTGTCTTGGGGTGGGATTTTCCTAAGGGAGTGGTGAGACCCAGTTACCTGGCCAGTCACTAACCTTGCATTCAGCCTCAGTAGCCTTGTTTCGTTTGTACCTGTGTTCTACAAGACTCCTACCCCAGAGGCACCTTTCATCCCCAGGACTGAGGGATGCAGCCTCTCCTCGCCAGCTCTTGTGTTGATTACTAAGTCTGTAGCCAGAAAAGCTGTGATGACAGCCTGCTCCCCCTCCAGATCCACGTTCACCTTAGCAGCTATTTTGTACTTGCTTTTCCAAATCTATGGTTTCTTTTGATCACAGTGCTGGCCTTTCTACAAAGCCTTTATTACTTGCAGTAACTTCTTTTTATTTCCTTGATCTACATGCTCTGTAGGTGTATCACAATATCTAAGCATCATCAGGAGATGACAAAAAGCTCTCTACTTAAACTGTCAAAATTTCTCTTTAGACCCTTTATCTGTCAACAGCACCAGCTTTATTCAGTTGTGGTGCTTTGGATGATAATTTCTCTGGCATTTTAAAAATTGTTTTCCTCACTCAACTTCTATTGAGCTATTTATATTAAATCATGCACTACTTTGTGGTCTAAAGGTATTATTTTCTACACTTGTTTACTGCTGACACTAGAACAGTCAGTTACTTCTGTGGTAACAGCATGAAGGAGGGTAGCAGGAGGGAAATTCTGTTCTGCTCACAGCAGGAGGGCTGGAAATAGATGATCTTAAGATCATTTCCAACCCTAACCATTCTTTGATTCTATGCTAATTATATGAATAATGTCATATATATATTTACAAACACTGAAGAAACTCATATTGCTTATATTTTAAAAGTATGGATTTTTAATATATGTGTATATATATATGTATGTACTATGCATACACAATGTGTGTGTGTGTGTGTATGTGTCTGTGTGTGTATATACACATGAAAGACAGGCTGAAACAGTCGTTCACTATACCAGGAAGGTTAGCTGGTTGAATATTACTCAATCCCTAGGCTATTCAGTTAATGCTGCCACTCTCATATTGTTCATTCGTCCATTTAAAATGTGACTAAGTGATTTGGTGAGTGCAACTGTTTAAACAGCCAATAACAATAGTTCAGATACCAAATGGCTGTTGCAAAGGGACATTGCCTGTGGCTGGCTCTTGCTTCCTTGCCATCACTTCCAGCAGTGTTTTAATGGACAGTAATGTCTGGAAGCAGATTGGGGATCAGAGTTATTGCAATGGGTACTCTATTTTGCCACTTGCCAGAGTGTCCTGGGGGGCTGAATTTGGTCCAGCAGCAGTGCATATAGAGACTAGCGTCTGCTTCCAGCCACCTTCCAGGATCCCCTGGCAAAGGCTCTTGTCTCTGGTTTGACTGCAGATGCGAGGCAAGCATTGCAAAGCTGTCGGGAGACATCAGTTTTATCAGGCATGAGGCCCAGAAGACTGATAAAGAGATCTATGGCCTTCATTCTACCCTCAGAAATTGTGTTGCTGATTTTGAAAGGAAGGTGAGTAGAGAAGCCACAGTTAAACACCTGGTAAGTGGTGACTGTGCACATGCAGGTATAGTTTCTTTTTGTAATTACTGACCAATATTAAAGACTGATATGGGATCTAAACAATATTTCAGGATTTTTAATTAAAAAAAAAGTTTTCCATGATACTGTGAAATCATAGAATGATTGACTATTTTGGGTTGGGAGGGACCTTAAAGCCCATCCAGTTCCAACCCCCTGCCAGAGGCAGGGACACCTTCTACAAGACCAGGTTGCTCCAAGCCCTGTCCAACCTGGCCTTGGACACTGTCAGTGATGGGGCAGCCACAGCTTCTCTGGGTAACCTGTGCCAGGGCCTCACCAGCCTCACAGAGAAGAACTTCTGCCTAAGAGCTCATCTCAATCTCCCCTCTGTCAGGTTAAAGCCATTCCCACTTGTCCTGGCCCTATAGGTCCTTGTCCAAAGCTCATCTCCAGCTTTCTTGTAGCCCCTTCAGGCACTTGAGCTGCTCTAAGGTTTTCCCTTAAGGAGCCTTCTCTTCTCCAAACTGAACCAGCCCAGCTCTCTCACCCTGTCTTCAGAGCAGAGTTACTCCAACCCTTGCAACATCTCCGTGGCCTCCTCTAAACGTGCTCCAACAGCTCCATGTCCCTCTTGTGTTGTTGCCCCAGCTCTGGATGCAGGACTGAAGGGGGGTTCTCCCCAGAGCGCTCAATCATATGCCAGGATTGAGCAGATATGGAATATTCGATTTCTCATGCGCTTTGGTATTGAATATAATCTCATTACCATATTTTGTCTGCATCTTCTGCTGCACAGGGCACAGTGCCAGTCATTGTGTACCTTGCCTACCCAAGGTCCTCTTCTCCAAGGAAAAATTACTCATGACAGAATTCAAACAAAGATATCTTACCTGGAATTCTGTCAAAAGAGACTGTTTGGACGTCTGCCTCTTTGAATACCTTTGAAAAAATGTTCTTCTTCACCTGGAACCATGGAAAGGACCTGGTGTGTGTGTCAGAATCTCATTAAGGAGTACACAAAATCATGTGGGAGAGAATCAGAGACCTGGGATATTCCACAGCCTAGAGATCACATGGCTGCACATAGCTGGGGATGCATGCCCCAGCATGGACATGGAGATGTCCTCCCCTGAAGGAGGGAGATGCTTTGAACATGGTCCACCAGGTATCAACTTATTATTGAAGCATGTGTTATTGTGGATGAGCCTCTCCTCTCTTCACTCTTCCTGGGGTTCTGTTAGGTGTTGGACAGACACATCTTTGCAACACACATGGAATTCCAAGGATTTACTCTGTTTTTTTCCACCACTTGGGAGGTTTGAGTGATGCCTCTGTCCACATTAAAACAGCATTGCTTTTCTGTGCATGTAATTGCTAATCCTGCATCCACAAACTTCGACTTCAGCAGGTCATACAGCCTTGGTGACTCTGAGCTCAAGTCTTCAGTTTGTACTGAATGAAGTGGTGAAAAATTTGGGGCTTATGTAGATGTGTCTTGATGTTATCCGTTTTTTCCATGCTTGCAATTATAACACATTTAAATGTTAGTGCTTATAAGTCTGGCTCATAAAGGCTTTCTGTTCAATTCTCATTAGGTAATGCAGCTATTAGGGAAGATGGAGACTTCCAACTCTGATCAAAGCTCAAATCTAAAGACAGTCCAGGGAGATCAACATCACAAATTGCAACTTCTGGATTTCAAGTAGGTGATAGAGGGTTTCTCATTATGATAATTCACCCTGAATGTGTTAGTGTGATGAACAGGTTGCCATGAAACAGTAAAACCTGTTCAACAGTAAAACCCACTCAAAACATAGAAATACTAAAGGAAGATTAATGAAGATCTGTGCCATAAAATAACAAAAATACATAATGAATGTATATCGTCTCACAAGTTAATTTTTGAAATGAGGCACTAAATGACATCCTGTAAGAAGAAAGGTATGAAAACAACTTTCTACACTTAAAAGAAAGGTAGCGAATACAAAGACACTGTTTACCGTTATAATTGGGTCTAATCTGTGACTTGCCTAATGTGCAGAATGTTTTCTTTATGCACTTCACTCTGAGACAACTGCCCAGGGTAGGGGTGCTGCTAATGAAGAAAGGTGGGCACAAGGCTAAAGCAGTTATATAGGATCATGTGCTCATAGATTTGTGATTTATTTCTTATTTAACTAGCATATTTTTCCTATTCCAGAAGTATTTTTAGGGTGCCATTGTAATCTTTATGAGTTTTAGAGATGATGGAACTCCAGGGAAGTATGGAATGAATGGAAGTACCTGGCATCCAAGTTCAGAACAATGCAAAACAGCCCAGCACTGAATAGCAGAGACAGCACAAATAATTTCATATCTAATTATAATTATCCTGCATTAATGATATTTCAAAAGCAAGAGTTCCACTCCTTAAAATGGTGAGGTATTTGAATAAAGATTTATTTTAACTAAGATTTTATCTGAATTGTATTAAATAGGCTAGAAATTAAAGCACAAGAAAGTTCTCATCAAGCAAAAAGAAAAAGGGATTGGGGCAAACAGGAAAATAACTGGTAAAGTGGGCAATGAATCAAAATTGGGAAAAGGGAAGGATAAACAGGGAGACAGAGAGCAATGAATGATGGAGATCAAGATGCTGTGAAAGGGACAAGATATGAAAACAAAATAAGAAGAAGGAAAAACGGAACAATGACAGAAAATAAAGCGATTGTAGAAGTGAAGTAAATGCTGAGTTCCTCAAAAGCTAATGAGACCTTACTGAAATTGTCATCAGAAACAGGAAGCTTAAAAAAGAGGAGCCTTTCAAGACAATAAGATGTGGTGGCATTGTGTATTTAACGTAAAATTCAAAATACTTATTTACTAAATGTTGAGATTTTATTCCAGCTAATATAAAATTTAATTAAAACAGTATGGCCTTTGGGAAGTGTCTGTCTCCTTTTATATTGCTCCTCTGAAAGTCTACCAGATTTATATGTTCTTTTTATAGAGCTTAAATAAAATCTAACTTCCAGAACAGACTGGAGCTTCTGCATAAAACTAGGTATGTTTAAATCAGCTTTAGCCAAGAGATACCTGTTCTGCTGACATGCAGCTGTCTGAGACCCAGTCACCTTTGACTGCAGTTTGGCAGTTTTATTATAAAGGTTCAGTAACTGGTATTGTTACTGAAAACCAGATTAATTGTAAACTTACTTCAGCATCTCATGGGAATCGTGCCTTGCTCAGAAATTTGGCCCTTCAGAGGGAAGTGGATGCTTATCTCTTGGGGTCACTTAGACTGGAATAGCTGCATTAAGCTGCACAAAGTTAATTCAATTGCCTACAGATCCTGGCTTAGTTAGAAGCTTTTTTTATCCTATGAGCTTCATTTTCAGACCACAACTGATTTTGCTGCTCTCCCCAATGCCCAGCAACATAGTAGACATTCAATAGAATAGCACAGCTTCATCCACTTCAGAGTTAATTCAAACGGGAATTATTATTTTTTCAGCCCTCATATATCTTCCTAAAGTAGACTACACCACAGAAATGACATTTTGGCATCTAGGTACAGCCTTCATAGTAAGGATCAAGAAAATAACTGAGCTTAGGGCTTTTTGGGAAGTGACTGACGAGATATGGAGTAATTTAAACAATTGAGTTGATTCCTCCATAATGCTGAGTAAGCCTTAGCATTTTTACTGAAGAACTAACCATCATTTTAGGTTGGCGAGTGGTCTAAGTGACTTCAGGGATCAGATACAGGCTCATCGGAAATGGACAGAATCACAGTTGACACGATCTGAAGAAGATCAAGCCCAGCAGAGGCATCAGCTGCATCACTTGGTGAAGGAAAGACTGGTAAGTTTCCAAGAGGGTGGCACAGGGTGGTTTGCAGCCCTTCCAGGAGTGGGAGTGAAGAACACCACTCCTATCACCTTGATCCCAGCAGGTACCAAATCATGCACATAAAATACAAGATCTAACACAAAACTAGGTTCCTCAGGACACAGACAGCAAAACTGTGAGTTATGGAAGGGATATCTGGAAATCATAAGGTTTAACTCCTCAGTCAAACAGAGCCAGCATCAAAATCAGGGCTTGAGCCTCACCCAGGAGATTTTTGTTTCCAAGGATGGAGATCCCACAGTGCTATAGGCATCCCAGATATAAAGTCTTCCCTGGCTGTGGCTGCCCCATCCTTGTCAGTGTTCAAGGCCAGGTTGGACAGGGTTTGGAGCAAACTGGTCTAGCGGAAGGTGTCCCTGGTAATCTTTAAGGTCCCTTCCAACCCAAACCATTCTTTGATTCTATGATCATGGCACCACTTCACATCTGTGCAACCCTGCTGTACCCAACAGTGGCTTTTTCTAGCTCCACGGTGAGCATCGGTGCCACCACTGAACATCACCCAGCTCCATTCATTGACAAGCTCATATCATCTCTTCAAGTTTTGCCTGCTTTTAAATACAAAGCCTCACCATCTTCTGGTGGTGCTTCCTTAAAATGGAGCTCTCTTTGGTTCCACAGCAGATTGGCCCAGCACTTGGCACAGGACCAATGCCTTGTAATTAATTCCTTCAGTTTTTAAAGCTTTTACTTCTTTGCTGTGTGCAGCTTCAGAGTTCAAAAGTGACCTAAGCATAACCACCATGTTTTAGCACCAGGGTGAAGGCTGCTGATCAAAGACCACATTCATAAGTCACTTGGAACTACAACGCTCCTGAACTTTAATCTCCATTTATTCTACCTGATGGTGATCTCTTGTACTTAAAGCAACCAGGATTTAGTGCAGCCATGAAGATAATAAAAACATTTCTGACTTGCCAGCTGCTATCTCGAAATTTCAAAGTTTGAATTCTCTGCCTCCACTAATAGTTTTTGTGATTAGTTTTCAAAAACACGTCGATATGTGTGGTTATTCTTTCCTAAGGGAGACTAGTGTGCCAAAAAAAAGACAGTGTTAACAGGAGTTAAAAATTTCAAACCCACTCTTAAACAGGTTGAACAGGGAATGCATTTGTTTTTCTATGTACACATACCTGTACACAGGCACATGCATGGTGGTCCTCTGGGTGTCCTCTCAGTGGAGGCACAGCTCAGTCCCCTGAGAGCCAAAGGAAACCTCAGCACAAATGCTGGACAACACACAATCCTCATGTAGCTGATGGACATGATTGGGTATGTGATGGTGATGGAGCTGTTCTGGGAGTGCACAGCAGCATCTTGGTCATTCCTGAAGGTGACTGACTCCATCAGCCACCAGCACAGCAATGTCTGTAAGCTCAGAGTGTGTTCCACTGCCATACTGAACTGTGTTTAGGTTCAGACAGCTCTGTCAGGTTTGCAGACACCTTCCTTGGGAGGCAGAGTCATTGTATTTTACAGGGCTCAGCCTCCTTATTCATGCCAGCAGCTGAGCTGGGTTTACACCACAGTGTTGCACCCCTTAGCTCAGAAAGCTTGAGCATGAAAGCAATCTGAATCATGTTGCAAAAAGTGACAACAAATCACTGGATTTAAGTGAATAAAAGAATAAAGTAATAATTAGAAAACACCTTTGTCCTGGCCCAGCCCAAATTTCTCCGTTTATTTGGTTTGTTGGGGAAGAGAGGATTGACACATCCTACAGAATACCAGGCCTTGCCCACATTTACTCAGTGCTCTCATGCACAGGATTAGGAAGCAAGACTGACTGAATGCTTTGTTGGCAGGAGGCAGGTTAATGTGGGTGCAGGTAAAGTGTCTTAACTATAAACCTGTGTTATGTATTTAAAGGAAAGAGAAGAAAAAAGAGTAGAAGAAAAGCTCCTATTTCTGTCACTGAAGTTAGAACAAATGGATAAACCACAGAAGTATGAAAAGCAGTTGAACCAGATGATAAGTGATGAAAAAACCCTGCATGAAAGACTCACCAGATTTGAAAGACAGATCTGGAAGGAGATTGAGGAAATCCAAAATGAATACAGATCAGGTGAGGATGGGCTTTCACACAACTTATTTTTAAAATAAATTTCTACAGTAACTTGCTGCACCAGAAGATACTTTCTAGCAAAGACAGAAAGACATTAAAATTAGGATTTGTCTCTCCCAAACCCCAAACATGGAGGTGTGTGGGTGAGCTCACTTGTCTTTGCAGACAGCCAGCATGACATCTGTACACAGGTTCCTTTTCTTCCTAAGAGTCTCAAGGTAGGACCATTTAAAAGGCTGTTTCAGAACCTGTTTTCCAGATTTTTTACAGCAACTATTTCTTCTGTTAGCAAGGCCCTTAACCTCTCTTGGAAAACTTGAGTAATTCCCTTTTGCACAGATCCTACTGCTGAGATCCTGTGTGATGGCTTTGTATCATGTCCATCCTGTACTCCCCATTCTCAACCAACAGTAGCTGGAAAAAAGAGGATTCTGGATGAGTTACAGCTGCCTGACAGAGACCATACCTTGTGCAAGCAGACAGGGAAGTGGTCAGATAGCATTGCTGAAAACACAGCAGCTGCCTCTTATGGGATCAGTCAAAGAAACCTATCTATCTCACAGAGCATGAACTACTTTATCAGTCAGATGATCAACTTTCAACAGCAATGAGAAAGGCTTTCACCTGGCACTAAGCACATGGTCTTGTCAAGGAGGACTTTTGCTCATTATAATCCATCCTCTGCCACTCAAACCTAACCTATTGTAATACCGCCCATTTGCAACTGATCCTGGAAACATCAGCTTATCCAGAAAAAAAAATCACTCAGCCCTCTCTCCAAGGGAACAGATGGCTGAAATTCGTTACACAAGGGTTCCCATCTTACATGTTCCTGCTTGAAACTCAAGCATCTGGTTCTCATCTCCCAGGATGGCTGTGATCAAGGACTCCTTACTTCAGCTCCAATTCCTTCATCATTTTCAACCCACCTACAAGCCCTGCTCCAAAGCTGTAGCAAACCAAGCTCTAAATTAGCTAAGGTCTTTTGTGCAGCTTGACAGAAAGGTGAGGCTTGGGTGGCTATGAGACCATGTGAGCGAGCCCCAGGCAAGGCCTCAAAGAAAGCTGTGGCTAAGAAAATTAGGAATAAAGGATTCTGGTGCTGAGAGGAGAGAGTGCTTAACTTCAAATTCCTACTTGCAGAAATTAAGGACAGGAGAGTTCTGACACTTTGGCCATGCTTGTGTTTAAACTCAGGTACAAGGTCTGCTCTTTCCTATGGCAGTCCTCTGTAGCAGGGGCTGACCCCTAGAAAGGGGGAAAAGAGGCCACTGAAGGGTTGTGGAGCAGCATGAAGGGCACAGAGGCAGCGTCTAGGCTCTCTCAGCAGCTGTTAGTGCACAGATTGGCTTCTTGGAGATCAGAAACAGGTTTGGAATTCATAAAATTCTAAGCACTACGAAGCAATTTGATTGAATGATACTGAGACAAAATTAATCCATATTAAAGAATCATAAAGAAAAACATGTTGTGAGCTACCATGTTACAATAAGCACTGTAAGAAAAAAAAAAAAGAGGAAAAGAATTAACTTCAATCCACTGTTAGGTTTCTTGCTGGCTAATAAGTTAACATCTATGTGACACACTAAATAAATGTAAGTAATTGCTATGCTGCAATTTGAAAGTTACTTCAGTCTGGAAACAGATAGGTAACAGCATCTCACATTCTGCTTTTACAGGTTTTATTGACAATATTTGATGGAACACTGGTCCAAAAAAATGGTGCATCAGGTGCTGTGTAGCTCTGTTTTGCAGAAGAATTGTGTGTGCACCACCACCTCTCTGTTTTTATACACCAGTTTTAGAAAAAAACACTTAAAACCCCCTCAAACCGAACAAAAAAACTCCAATGCTTAATGAAAAAAAAATAAACCTCAAAAGCTGACAATACCATTGGTTTTAAAGACAGATAGTGTTTTCTTTCCTCCACACCACAAACCTGATGTCAAATGCTGTTTACTGCTGTTTATAATCATGCTTGGCATTTTCCAAAGTATTGGAAGATACCATTCCAAGAGCAAGGAACTTGCAACTCAAGCTGCTAATGTGTGTCTATGGTATTGAATAAAATGATGAAACAGAGTGGATTTAATGTGCTCTGTGTTAAACAAGGGTAGGAAACCTTTGCAAAGGAAAGAATCTTCAAATATGTTGAAAGCAGGTGCTATTAGATTAATTGTTCCTATTCTTCTACCAGGATTTCAATCTATTCATGAGTCTCTGAAGCTGCTCAGAAAAATACACAATGCAAAGCTGAAACTAGAAAAAAAAGAAAATTCATGAAGACATGATAAAGCTACAATAGAAGTGACCTGGAAGACTGAACACCATGAGCAAGTCTATAATAACAGCTCTGATATATATACATATATATGTAGCTCCTCAACAGTCATTTTCATGCCAATTTTACAACAGAATACTTTGCTGTGGAAGAGAGGTTAAATTTTAAGCATTAACTTAAAATTTTACAAACATCATGCAAAAAATACACTTCATACAAAAAATATTCATATTATTTAAAGGACTTTAAGAAAATGAGTACTCAGCGTGGTTACCTCAGTCCTGCCTTAAGCTGCACCAGTTTTAGATTGTTGTAAATATTTAAATCAGGCCTACTCAATTTGTCCAGCTCTACAAAGCATTATCAAAACTGGTATCAGACTATTTACTAATGCATGATTTGGACCTACTATAGTAATTTACTGAATCATTAAAACTAGCCAATAAATTGTGTATAGGTGACACAATGCATGTTAATTACTAGCATATGTATTATTAAAAAGGTCTATTTCTTATCTTCTCTTTTTCAATAAAAGCTAGTGGTGGTTTGTAGTAGAATACTCAGAAATGTAACTGACTCTGTGGGTTCTGTTTAGCTTCAAATAACAAGAAAAACCACCTGGAAACAAGGAGGAAAATTCTGGGAGCAGTGAAAAAGAAACATAACACACTAATTTCCCAACAGAGGCTAACACGAGTTCTTTAGCAGGGAGGCCAAAAAAGGTGGTCACAGTGCAATTGCACTAGAAACCTGAATTTCTACTGTACATTTGTTTCCAGAAAGCCCAATACTGTCCACTGCCCAAAGAAAATCCAAGAGAACTCAGATAATCCTCCTCCAGTAACCACTATCTCAAGTCTCCTGTGCTTCTTGCTCTACAGCAAAGCAGGTTTCTCCAGCCACTGATTGCAGGTGGCTTGTGAGGAGCCAGACCCGCAGAGCACAACAGCTGAAACTGAACTGATGTGGTCAGTAGGGAATACCACTTCAGCAATGAATCACGCTGCTCCTGCAGGCAGAAACTTTGATATGTTTCAGCTTTCTTCAGCAAACAAGAAGTGTAAGAACTTGCTTGAGTTTTGTAGATGATGAAAGCGCAGCCACCAGGTTTCACAAGTGACCTTCCTGCATTCTGATGGTGGCCAGGTTCTTTGGAGCTGAACTGCCTGGGTCTTTTGCTCTAACCCCAGACTCACAACTGTTGCCAGCCAGGCCAGTGTTTGCCACACTTCCCACCAGCTACAAGAAACCAGCAACACTGAAATCTCAACAACAAGCAGCAGTTTCTGAGTTACACCAAGTCTGTATTTCAGTCTCCCTGTATGTTCTGTCCATTACAGTGGGCTCTGCCTCCACTGTAAAGTCCATTGTGCAACCATGGCAAGACATTTGGGCTTGAATGCAGCCTCCCAGGCTGCCATTCTCTAGCTCCTTTTAGGCACTTTCACCATTTTTTGCCCATTTACTTGGCTGCCAGTGAAGCACCAGCTAGTGGTGTGGTGTATTTGCCTCCCCACCAACTACCTGGGTGCTCCTGTTCTCTGTATACTGAAGAACAGCAAAAAAGTGAAATACAAGGCTATTTATGAATGTGCTTCTGAAAGCAAGCCAGGACAACCTTCAGAGTATTGCTGCACATTTTCTGTCTATCTGGCAGTCTGGCACAACCAGATGTTGCTTTAGGTAAGAATATTGCTTTGTATGATTATAGCAGAAATGTTGGAGTGTCTAATTATGAATTCAGATCACACACGAATATGTATATTTGGAATGTTGCTATTGAGTGACTTCACAGCATGAAGGCATTATCTTAGTATTTATCACTCCACACTGCAGTCAAACTCTATCCCTCTCACCCTTGAGAACACTAAATTCAAAAGTCAGTCAACTGTCAGCAATTCAGTTAAATGAGAAGAAAGCAAATTAATTGGGAAGGAAGGAAAGCTAAATTCTAGACATACAGGCTGCTGGATTAGGGATGTGCGTTCCCTTGCAACAGCATGAAAACAGTTCTCAAGGATTTTGTATCTGTGAATTTATGTATTTTCAAAAAATATAAAAGGTGCCAAACAAAAGTATTGGGGAGACAGAAATATACACCCGTGTTTCTGTTAAACTCTAAGGAAGATTATCTGAATGCAATTACTCACTGTACTTCATGCTACCACTTTGAGAAGCTCAAAAATTGGGTAGAAATCCAGCAATTCTTAGGAAATACAGAAAATAAGATGAACATGCATGACCCTAAAATAAATAAGAATTCTCAGAAGCAAACCGTTGTCTCATGTTTGTATAAAAGTAAAAAAGAATAAAAGCATCAACTTCATGCTGAAGTAGCAAAATTTCTACCTTGAAATTCACTAGATCTAATTCCATTCTGCCTTCAGCATAAGTCAACATAAAAGAAATTACAGCTTGGGAATGTTCCCCCCCCTTTGCAGTCATAGCAGCTGAACATACAACTTCCCAGACAGTGAAATCCAGAAACAACTCCCAGCTCCCCAGTTTAGTGATGCTTACGTGCCTTCGTACATTGCTTTGCATTCTAAATCTGAGCTTTACAGTCGTATAAAATACAGGGTTGCTTCAATCTGCATGAATCTGCATTTTGTCTCAGTGTTACAGCAGACCTTCTACAAAGTGCAGATTTTGTAGAGGCTATGCATGATTAAAAAACGAGGAGAGCAAGATTTTTATCTCATATTGTTGGATTTTACAGAAGCTTGAAATTTAAACTCATGTTCCCTGAGTGCTTTTCACTGAGAGGTACGTGGGTCTTTTCTTTCCCTGCAGGGCATGTAATAGAACTTTGGGCTACGCTGCTCAAGAAGTTCATCACTGATCACAATAAAAGTAACTTCATGGTCTTCTGAAGAAGAAAAGTACTGCAGTATTCTATTTACTAATACAGAATATTCACAGTAGATAGTTACTTAGCTGGTTTCTCGGCCTGTTTTTACTTGCTTGCTCTCCTAGCTGTTAGAAAATATTTAAGGCTTCGTGCTGAACAAAGCATGGGCTCATACTCATGCAGAAGCACTTCTCCCTATCATATTAACAAGGGCAAGCAGCTGCTTACCACGCTGTCATCAGGCTGGTGATGGTGGTTCTTCCACCACTGCAGTAGGAGGCACAGACTTCTAGACCATATGCCAAGGACACGAACTAGAGGCTGTAAGAACTTTACCAGGCTTTTAATAGCAGCAAGCTAAAAAAAGTTACAGCTAGTCTAGAGTCACGAGTCTGGCATTTGCAACATTTCCTTTTGGTGTCTGCAGTTACTGACAGTTCAAGACTACGTGGTAACAGCCCCTGAAGGGAACCAAAATTGACCTAAATTTAACAAGAAAAAATCTTTTTAAGGAAGGTACTTTGCACTATGATGGGTGGGAGAACTAAGAGAGTGTGGAAGACAAGGAGGGATTCCTGGCATTCAGAGAGGCTTCTACTCTCCTCCACTGAGAAGAAACCCCAGCCAGTTCCTCTTCAAAGTGGCAGTGTCACACTTGTGTCTCTCACCCACTTTAGAGTATCCCTGTGCATGCATGGTCACGAAGATGCACACCCCACGCACCCCAGCTTGGCAGCCTCTTAAGCCCTATACAGCTGGTTCCAAGACCAAGTGAGAGCATGTTCAGCGCAATCTCACTGCTCACCTTGGAAGCTCCCCTTGTCTCTATGATAAGAGATTATCTGGACAGCTATCACCATCAACAGCTTGAAAAGCCTAATGGTAACATTAACAGATTAGAGTCATTGCTTTATTTCTTTTATTTCATGTAAGTAAAGGCAAAATAACATGCCTGAAGAACCACAGTCATGATTCATCCAATTAAGCACTCAGCAGCAGAATCACCAAGACATAAACAGAGCCTGTTATACACATTTGTAAATATGACCCAGTCCCTGATGATCATAAGCTTTTCTTGATGGGAATGTTTACCGAAGCCTGCAGTCAAGAGGATACACTACTAAAAATTAACTAAATATATATTTTAAAAGTATAATGAAGTTCCAAGTGGATTTGGGTCTCAACTGCAGAAGAAAGCATAACAGACGAATACAGACATTTTAAATCTTTCAATGTTTTACAATATCTATAAGAAAAGTTTGCTGCTACCTGGCTAGTAAAATTCTGTTCCAAGAAAAACTTATATTTAATACTGTACTTCTGTGTGTTGCAAAGGGGGGAAATACATACGAGTACTCTCTACTGTGAATAGTGCTGAAGTTCTAGTGAGGAAGAAAACGAAAGCAAAATTTGGGGTTTTTCTTTCAAATAAAGTAATTTTTTTTATGGTGGAACCCCCCATGTGAACAGGAAAAAAACCTACTTTTTTCAAGAAAAAGTGAAATTAAGGACAAAATTGTAGTTGGTGCAACGGGAAAAAAAAACCAAAAACAACCAACAAAACCGACACAAATAAAAAATCCCAAACAACATCAGGCCTTGGAAGACTGACTATTAAGTTGCATGAATGGAAGACTTTTCACTTGATGTAGTCCATACTAGGCACTTGCTGACAATTTCTCATTTAGTTCCAGAGCTCTAGCATCTCCGTTGGCTTTGGCATTTTCTATAAGCACCTGCAGAGAAAAACAGTGACAAATGAAGAATTTAATATTTTGCTGTTCGTATTTTACTGTCAATCTCAAATGCATTTTAATTTCTACTATGCCATTTCCCTAAAAGACTAAGCAACCCATAAGCAACAGATAGGAAATACTCAACGTGACAAATCAGCTTGCTTAAAACATCAGGCAACTAAACCCTCCTACTTTGTACTGCCTTGCTAAACCGGTTGTCACTTGCAGTGCACAACAACCACATCATCTGTTACTTGACGCTGAGACCAACTTTGATAAGTTACCTGCTGGCAATGAAAAGAGCAGAGGCAGGTGACACCTGTCTCCCTGCTGACATATACTTTCCTCTTGCTATACACTTGCTCTTGATTTTGTCTGTATAAATCTCAATTTGCCAAACAGGAGCATTCCCTGCAGCTACTTAAAACTGCCAAAGTACCTTTTTGCCTCCTCCATTTAAATTTAACCTTCCTTGGTTTATTTCTACACCCCCCCTGTTTGCTGCTTTTCTACTCATTAAAAAAGCTCCTATGACAGCCTAATGTTCACAAGCTTCTGGCACTTCTCTTGTAATCCAATCACATCATACATATTAAAAAGGAAAACCACTAAGTAGAATCAAGGAAATCCTTACTCTAGCCATTACTGTTATTGTACTAATTGGTAGGGAGTACAGATGATTTTGCAGAAGCAAATGCAATGAGATCATACCAGGATCATCCACACTCATTAATTCTAGCTTTTTTATGAATCCCTGTGTGTATGCATTGACTTTTGTGAACTCTGAGCCTACTCCTCCAAATGTATTTTGTTACAGATTCATAGTTTCACCAGGGAACTGTTGTTAATCTGGGCAAAAGAGCTCACTGTGCCAGTGGCAGCAGTGAGGATATCTGCAGGATGACTGCAGAGTGTGATTAGCAAAGTGATTCTAATTAGAAGCCCAAATGAACCACCATATCACATGAAAGACCTGTGTGCATTTGTGAAGTACTGTCAACAGAAACTAATGAACCGTTAACTATGTGTTGAAAATAACGCACCATTCCAGATATAATAAAAATCTTAAGTACGGAAAGTACAGCACACCGCTGTTCAGTTTTCTTAAGACAAGGATGCCACATTGTTCAAGCCAGGCTTGAGGGAATTACTGTTTTTAGTGCATTAATATGTTCTGGTAAAGTTCTGATAAAATGGTCCTTGTGTCTACCAACAAGTCACTTGTAGAATTTTTGCCAGTCTGGATTGGAGATTTTACTGTTTGTTTTCTGTTAGTATTGCATGGAGGATTGGAAGACTTTCAAACAAGCTGGTTGCAGTTTGAAAATTAAGGTATGTTTTGTCAGCATGGAATCCTCAAACATTGCAGCCTCCAGAGCAAGTGAGCCAGCACCTCCCTGCTTCCCTCTACCCAATTCCAAGTTGTGAGCATAATATTCAATGTAAATAGGCTGAAATTCTGTGTAAAATGGACTGCAACAGACTTACATCTATTAATTCTTGATCATCTTTGGCATAAAGATGTTGCAGGAGGTACCAGCGTGCCACTGACACCATGGTTTCCGGATTTCCAGGCTGATAAACCACTCTCTCCAGCATTCGACGAGTCTCCCTAGAAGCAAAACCAAAACATAAACTAAATCAAATCACCACTGACTAGGTCACGTGCAACATATCAGCATCACAGAGCAAGCAACAGCAACCAGGAGTAATATAAAGGAAGGTCTTTCTACCATATGAGAAAGTGAGAGAGCAGAGCTGTACATTCCTTTTTTTGGTATGTAGTTGCATTTAGAATGCTAAGGAATACTGCAACCATTCTTATGCTTAATAAATTACACTCAAGTTAGTGCTTTAACTAGCATGTAATGCAAATTAGGTTGACACAGCAGACTTTATGACTGCTACAATAACAATAAACATCTCGCTATCAGTTAACTCAGCACAATCTCTGATTTCGGTATGTCATCTGCTGAGCAAGTACTGCAAGTATTCTGATCAACAGCTATGAAATAAGTCTGTTGCAGTGCACCTGAGAGAAGCAGGTACTACAACAGGTTTTAATAATCCAAATATCATTTCATATTATACACATACATATTTAATCCAGGCACTCACAAAAAGTACCGCAGTTCTTGCAAACACAGAGGCAAGATGTGAAATTGCAGAGAAAAAAACTGGAATAGACTACTACACACAGGCTAAAATTCTGTTTGGCTGACACTACCTTCCAACACTGCCATCTTATACCTAATCAAGACAGTTTCAAATTTACTGTGCCTTTAGAAATGAGGTAAAAACTAGCAATTAAATTTAGGGATTATCATACCCATTCACTGGTGCTCCATCAGTTTTGGCTTTCATTTTAAGAATTCTGCCCTTTATAACCAATGTGATTTCCCAGTACACTGTGATTTAACACAGGCTGTTGAGAGGTTGCATCTGAGTTTTTTTTTTGTTACTTATACTTTAGATCAATTTCTGTTTCATGATTTTGGGACACCTAGGCAGATCAAGTAGAGCTTATGATATACCTTATTGTTCACTTAAGTTAATACAGGAAATTGTAGTGAGACTTATTTTAATTGATTAAGTAAGTTTTCAGCCCAATTTTTTTATAATTATCAACCATCACAATCACATTGGTCTGCCTGTTACCCTCCTCAAAAGTCCACATAGAAAATAAGGCAGTTTGCCTCAAAAGTATAAGGCTTCCAAGTCCTCCCTTCAATCTTCCTCTGCTTCCTCAAAAAGCCACAATGAACACCTGGTTGCTCAGGAATGAACATAAGCTTTGGACTATAAGGCCAATTTAGGATCAAAATTAATCTCAGCAGTAGATACGGTAGTGATGTTTCCACTGTGCTATTTAACAAGACCTTTGAGAATGTACAGACCTTCTGATTAATTTATTTAGGTAACATGCTATTAAAATAAAAGTTGCCTTACAGATCTTTGTTTTCTTTAGTATGAAGGTCATACACTTGTTGTTTTTTTTTAAAAAAGGAGGAAGATCTTGATGCTTCCTGCTCCCCACATTACTAGTAACTCCTCCCTTACTTCTCCCTTTTAAGTGCCGAACAACTTCAAGAGCTAACTCCTGTTTTCAATTTTCTTTCAGTTCTTGGAGCTAGATATGGGGATAATGACTGCCTGTGCTTTGTGTAGACAGTGTGTTCCATTTGAACATAACAGATCGTGCATACCTTGCTCCCATTTTGCGATTATATTGTAGCAGTGCTTGTAGGAGAGTTGCCAGGGGACAAGAAGTGAGTTTCAAAGCTTCAGTTGTTGCCTCCTGAACCAAGGATGGCCAGTGCTCATTTGAGACATTAGCCTACGATAAAAGAAAAAATAAAATAAAATAAGGGCTTTATTGTAGTGTGCAGTTTAAATCAGTTCTTGTTTGCAGTTCTTTCAAGAGCAGGTTTAATTCAAGCTCTTCTGAGTTATATAAGGTATTTGGCAGATTAGAAAGACATTCCTTTAAAACAAAAAGACGAGTGTTTAGAGGAGCCTGAAAAAGTCATGTTAAATATTCTAGGTCCAGCCTTGCCAACATTCCACTTGCTTGTTTGGGGGTTTTTTATACATGTTTTAGTAATGCTTGTTTTAATCACCAATCCTTGTTTGCCCTTCATCCTGTAAATCTTCATCCTCTGTACAAGACTAGTCTGGAACATAGAATTTTTCCCCTGATGCGACACCGTATTTTACCAGAAGTAAAAACCAACTCCAAGATGGCAATTATCTAATAGAGCAACTATTGAACAAATCCCTGTATTTTTTGCCTCCAGAAAAATCTTATTATCCCCTGTTGTATCTGGATAGCATTCAAATTGCTGTACTTGAAGGGGTGCCTGAATTTTCATTTGGACAGATAACTGGGAGACTAGCAATTACCAGCCACAGAACTTTCTTGGATCTGAGCAAGGTTTTCACCGGGCTTTTGCACATTTCATTATGCCAGTCCAGATAAGAGAGGCTGAAAACAAATCCACTCATCAGCTACTCTGCTCATGCGAAAAACAGAGATGAGATAATCAGATTCTTATCTTGTACATTCTCAGGCTGAATTCACGCCAGCACTTAGAGAAGTAGCATTCAGTTAGAAGGTACCTTGTTACCTTTGGAGACATTTAGGAGCTATAGGAAACAGGGACCAGATCACTAAAACACAGACAGAAGAATTACACGAGGAAAAATCCTGTCACTTCACCAATTCTGCCTTTCAAAGCATATGGCTTCTGAGAAAGAGACTTGCCTACACTGAGGGAAATCATCTCTTCTCACCACAATTAACATCTTTGCAGCTTTATCCTTGGAAAAACTGACTGCCTTTTATTTTATAAGCACTCAGATATATGGGGTTTCTTTGCCTGATTTTGATTATGGCTGTTAGCTTGATCATCTCTTAAAATACATGGAAAAGGATTAGCCACAGTCACAGCAATAATGAAGTGCGATACTGCTCTTCAAGTTTCTAGAATGACTAAGCTTAAAAGAGACTAGACACTTGCCAAGAACCTGTGTTCACCTGACCCTTGGTGCAAGGAGTAGAATAATTTTCTTTATACTACAAGGTACACTTCCATTAAGATTGTGCTTATACTTAAAGGCAAGGCACCGTATGTAGAAATGACCATACAGCATGAAGGTATTTCAAACTTGACTGAAGTCTCCAGGCAACAGTAGAGTGAAAATGTTTCCTAAGGCATGTGTCTAAACAAGAGACTAGAGACTTGAATGGGAAGATCAGTTTGGATGGTTAAGTTGAATCTGTTATTACAGAAATAAGCCTTATTGAGCAAGTTGGCTTTTTACATACACAGTGTTTCTATGTGATTGTTTCACAGCAACATCTCTTTGCAAGAGACATTCTAGAACAGTCCACTGCCCCTTGCAGTCTTATTTTATCCTCCACTTGTTATTCATAAAATGTAAAGTCAATTAAACATTTAAGGACTGCAGAAGCCCTACATCTCATGAACTCCTGTTAAATCATGCAGTTACATAATTTTGATTATCCTACCATGCAGACTTCCAGTGCGAGCATAGCTAGCCTGAGCAGACTGGACAACTTCCCGCTCCAGCTGCCCTGCTGTGATGCCAACTGCAGACTCTTTCTGTAACACATCTCTGCTCCAACCATCATTCGCTGAGACTGATACACGTTTGCCAGCCACTGAAAATAATCCAACACAATCAGTTCTGGAGGCACGAAAACATATATTCATTAGGTAATATCATTTAATTAAATTTATGAGAGTACCACAGCATGTTATTAGCTAAAATACCGCCACACACCCAGCCCTCATTTCAACAACACACTGTGCACTGCCCTGCAGTGAAATGTAGTCTGCTGCAGAGCTTGCAGCACACCTCACTACAGTAACTTATTTTGGAGTTCCCTAGACCATCCATGGACATGGTAGTTTTTCCCAGCCCATATGAGTAATGCCAGGAACGTGAAAGACATTACGATGTGAGCCTGAGCTCAGATGATGGGTGTAGACTTGGGGCTACAAGCCTTCCAACCCAGATCTGGAGGGGCAAAGGAAGCAGACACCAGGATCTTTGTGGAGTTCATGTCCCGACTGCCTGCTCTACCAGCACAGGATGTCCCGATTTCCTCATGAAGAGAAGGAAAGGATTCTAACTCCTCCCTCTTTAAATCTGTAGTCATGTCACATTTTTTTGAAGCAGATGTCATCACAAGGTTTGCGAATCCGTGACGTGTACATGATATGCATCAAGATGTGCAAGCCATGTTTAGAAATATTATTTGCTGGATCACCAAACAAAACAATTTCTTATTAGAAAGACAATCCCCTTGTTTTTAAGCTAAGGTGCTTAGACTTTTGCTAGCTAAAGATTGTCTGGTTTTAGAATGGGCAAAATTTGTAACCCTTTCTGATGTATAAAAGTGATTTACCATTAAGAAGAGACACACTTGAAAGTATTGATTAGCACTAGTGCAATTACAATGCTGCAGGACTGCTTTGTAAAGTAACACATCCACTCATTTGCAGTAAAAAAGGCTTTCTTTGGTGTCCTTTGCAGCTGAAGTTTTCTAACACTCAAAATGCGAAGGAGAAAAGAACCCTCGTGAAAGGCACAATGGCAGCTCTGCCAAATCAGTTTTTTCTATCTTCTTGGTAAGCCATGGTATAAAAGGTACAACAGACATCAGAACAGTAGCTCAGCAGCACTCCTAAATCCTGCAAAACGACTATTTAGACAAAAGCCAAAAGTTAAGCAAAAAGAAAAGTTAAAGGCCCCTCTAACTTAGTAAAGCTATAAAGCATTGCAATGGATACTTTAAGTAAAACAGAACATTTATCCAACTCTTAGAAAGCCTAGCGCAAGAAAACATAAAAGCGTAGATTTATCTGTTAGGAACAGATATAGCCGCCAGGCTTTTCCAGAATGCTATCCAATCCTAAGAAGTATCTAACTGAAGACTGAAAAGATCTTCCTCAGAGGCATCTTATGTGTGGCCTGTATTAAAAAAAAAAACCCAAACACCAAAATAAAACAACCCTTCCACTGTTTGCTTATTCCCCCTTCTTGTAAACAAGATGACACTTGGCTATGCAAGAGATGCTTGAACAATTTATATCAAACCCTAATTTCATTTTCAAGATATAATACTAAAATAGAGAATACAATCATGTCTTGCATGCTCCCATACTTTGCAAATCCACTCTGAATGACTTCTGCAGTTCAGAAAGATGAAGTCTCACAAATCAAACGTGTCCAAAAAGCACCACAAATGATTCTCCTATGTTCCAGAAGGGATCTGCAGCCTTGCAACAGGTGAAATGGAGATCTCTACAGCAGCCTTGCCCTGATCCTTTAAGACTGAAATCAACTTTAGTGAATCTTACCACATACAGGTGTGTATTTGCTCAACCGGCAGAGGGAGCACCATAAAGCCTCACATCTACATAAAGGACTCTAAAAGTACATGGGATTTTTCTAAGCAGAGTGCTGCTAAACATTGGTAAGGAGGATAGTAACTGTAACTAAGAGCAACGATTAGGAAACAAACTAAATAAATAAATACACGCTGCATCACCAGAAAGATCTCTTGGCATGTGTGAGAGACTTCTCAGACTGTCTCACAGAAAAGCATATGAAGTTAGTTATAGCACCTTCGTAGTAGCTAAAAATGATCACTTGTAGTGCCATGGAAGGGAGCAAAAGAACACTGTTACTGGGAGTGATTTCTCTTCTCTGCAGATTCAATCTACTCAAACGAATGTTGACATCTGATGTCAGGAGATTATGGAGTAATTATTAAGTAAGTCTTTTTGACTTACTTAGGTTTTCAGATGCTGAATAAGGAATTGTGTATTTACTTCCACCTATTCTTACGGGTTATGAAATATTTCATGGGCTTCTGCTCACATACCAAGTCACAGGTCCCTATAGACACAGGTACCTGGGGTTTATCTCAAGCTTTTAATTCTCTTGCCTCCCAGTCTGCTGCTTCTTAAAAATGGTTGTTAGTATTTCAGCTATTAAAGAAAGTTAACATAATGTTGCCCCTATAGAGTTAACTGAATATGAACCCTTCTTTTTCTGTCACTGGCTGCTGGTGGACAAATAAAAGCAAACAGTAAAACAAACTCTCACTCATTTGTCGTGCATGTTCTGCTGAAAGCAGCACACCAAAGTCAGGGAGAGGATCCACACTTACTTGCCAGGCTGCAATTGAAGTTGATCTGGTCATCACTGTCTTGTGAAGCTCCTCCAGGATGTTGTCTGGAAGTTCTTTGTGAGACTGCAACAGCTGCTTACACTGAATTTGTCTCAAAAGCAAAAACAAAGCTGGATGCTCAGGGCAGCTTTTTAAACCCTAAAACCAAACAAAGCTCAACATAATACAGAATTATTTCCAAATAGCACATATTTTGATTTTTCCATTTTGGTCTTTACAGCATACAGCATTGAAAGCATGCTCAGTATGCTTGCAACACGGCATTTTCCTCCTACTATGCACAAAGGAGTGTTCCAGGAATTGACACATGAAAATAGATAACATTCTCTCCTCAAGATACATCTGAAGTACATCCTAAATTTTGTATGTGTCCTATCCTTAGAGGTTTCTGAAACAAAGGTAAATGGCAGACCTCTACTTCTCCTTTGGTTTCATAATCATTACAAGTCTTGGACTAATGGAGGCAAAACCCTGTCCTGTGGCTAAAATGACCTTGAGCATGTTCCAAGCAATTTTAATTCTCCCAGCTAAGGTGCTTTATTCTTACTGGAACAGAAGCACTTTACTAAACATTTCCTGTTCAATAACAGCAGACACCTAACAGTATTTTTTAGAATACATGCACAAAAAAATCAAAGACAGAAAACTAGCCATCTTTGCTTTATCCTTTTTAGGTGAAGCATGTGAAGGTTTTGCAAGTCACAGTTCATGTTATTTTACCTGTTTAAGGCACAGTATTTACATGAATTTTAATGCAAAACAAATCTAAGAAAAAACACTTGTACTTTTCACCCATTTTTTTAAACAAAATATGCTCTCTGTGAGACCTTAGCAAGCTCCTACTTGTGAAGAACATGTAGACATGCAAATACTTTCAGAAACACAACGGAACCTGCTATTTGTACTTCCCCCATAAACAAATGTGGAATCATGCTGCCTATCTCAAAGAGAATGACTCCAGTGCCTGACTCATCATCCCCAGTTATACTGCTGAGAATCCTTGGGGTCAAAAATGTCTGTGAGAGTCTGCAGTACCACAGAATGTTACTCTTTGTTTCTTCACAAATTGCAGGCACTGACTGTCCTCTTTCCAAGCTATTTAATTAACCAAACCCATCATAACCTTTCCCCATACTCAGATACCAACTTGTATCTGGTGAGTAGAGTGGCTGGCTAGAAGAGGAAAACATCACCTCACCAAGCAAACAGGCAGCAAATAACTTCCCCTTAGAGAATCAGCATGTTCACTGAATCTGCTGGCAGGGGGCGGGGGGGAGGGTTGGTGTTTTAACTTCCTTCATTGTTTATACAGAAATGCCATAAGCAAAAAGCACATTTGCACAGGATTAGTCATTTTTCATCATGAAAGTCAGGGATGTGTGCTGCCTAGTCCAGTTGGGTTTCTGCTTATCTTCTGCCAAGTCTTTGGTTCATGAACATATGAAATACACACTCAAGGCTTATTAAGTGTCCAATCCCCTTCCCTAACCGTGTTGCCTCAAGATTCTTCTTTTCAATAATTAAACTTGTAGCATCCACCTGTGGCTCTGAAATGGAGTACCCACACAACAGAGTACAAGACATTTCAGTCCCCTGCAAGTCTCCTACCTGGCCTTATTGCCTTGAGTTTCTGTAATGTTTTGCTTAATACTAGCTTAATGAACAAAGGTAGCAAGGGCAGGCATAGCTTTGCCATGTCGTACGCTGCTTGTTTCAACTAACAACAGTTTTAGTTCTAACAGATTAAGTATCTTGGGGAGTGGGAGAAAATACCAACAACTATTGCATCTTGTAGATCTGATGGAACAGATAATTGCTAATCCAAATATTACCTTTTTGTAAAATGAACAAAAATCATGATTTCTATACAATTCCACCACAGTCTGCCAGTTGCGTCCCATCGTACCTTGGTACAAAGGGCTTCAGCTTCTGAGAGTTTACCGGTCTCCTCCAGACTGGTAATAGCTTGACAGAGACACCAGTCTTCAAGAGTCTGGACGTAATGACATGGGAGATTATTTTCTCCAGCTGCAAAACCAGATAAAAGGCTTAACCAGATTCCTGTACATGCTATAGCACTACACCATGTACCATGCTCTAGATGTGGTGAGGGAGAACTTTAGGAGTGTTAACCTGATGTGGCTTTCTTTATTAGTAGCAACATTAAGAAACGGTAAAATTTAGAGAAGGGAAAAAAGAATATACAATTCGAGCTAATGGTTTGAGAACAACCAACCAAATACGGAATTTGCATTCTGGTTTTGAAAACACTACAGATGTTGAGCACAACTCAGGCTGAGGTTATCCCTCTACTGGAAAAGTTGCAGAACTCCAGAGTACTTTAGCCTTTCCTTGTAAGGAGCATTCCTGTGCTATAATACGCCTACCCATTCATTTAGCCATCACAGTTCAGTACTAATATTTTAAAACAGCATTTGAGGCTTTGGAGGGGAAAGCAAGCCTCAGTTAGGAAATTCACCCTAGCTGTGCCTTAGGATTTAGCATTTTGATATGATAAAAAAGTTACAGCTCAAACTATAACTGAGCTTGCAAAATTCCAAAATTCGGATACTGCAAGTTCAGAACATTTCAACTGTATTTTACTTTTTTAAACTAGAAAACTTGTATGGCTTACTTTTGGCTGAAACTCTAGATACAAGTGTCATCTCTAGATCCGTTCGCTTTGGCTGAGTGTTGTTTAGACAGACAATGGTGTTTTCAGCATGACAGGCTGCCATGAGAACTGCCCAGGCAGTAGGATTATCTAGAAAAGAATGGTTAAAGGCAACTCAGGCCCATTCTAAATATACTTTTAGTTCAGTTAGAAAGGTCTTTACCATTCCCATTTATGCCAGCTAAGTGTCAGCTTTACCCTGACCTCCCCCCAGGAAGACCAACTATGATTGGGACTGGACAGAGCTCAGCTCTGAGATATGAACTGGACAGAGCTCAGCTAAGGATGATATACTGTCATCCCAAAGATAATGAATTTTGCCAGCAAAACGAAACAAAGCTTGAAGATCTAACAAAGTAAAATGTGAAGCATACTGGTTTTCAATTGCAGTCAGTCTTGTAGCTTGTAGGAAGATTACTGAAACTTTTAACTCACAGCCACACTGATACACCAGATCAAAATTACAGTAGAAGAAATAATGTTCTGGTATTTCACTGTCAAGACAAGTTAGCACTTGAAAACCCCACTACAGTCACACTTCATATATTTAATGAAGATCACCATTTCACAATAGAACAGTTGCCTCTAGTTCATAACCAGCATGCTGCAAGAGAACATTTCCAATCCAAATTTTCAAGATAGATGAATAAATCTCTTCTGCTTGGTGCAGCATACAGACTAACGGAACACGCATTTTTCTTTTTTGTATGATATACTAAATAATAATTATCTTTTCTGCTGATGAGGGATTAAGAAATTGCCCTTGTCTTCAGAAAAGCTTTAGAACTCTGCAATTTTTCTCATCTGGTTTAATTCCCCATATCTGAACTCAGAATGACATTTAAAATTTCAACTCTAAGCGTTCTCCCCAAATCATTCATCGATAACCCATATCAAAACAACCCAAAGAAAGTAGATTTTATTTTTTGTTAGCATAATAATTTTGTTTCTGATGAATAGAAAAATAAAAATCACTACTGTGTTTGAGAACAAGAGTAACCTGGATACAGGTGGATTGCCTTCTGAATATTTTTCAGAGGATTGTTTTTCTCATCTTCTAACATGTGATGTCCTGCTGCCAGCTGATTAACTGCTATGCTCACCAGGACTTCCTATAAAACAGAACATAAATGTGACTTAACTCTGTAAGTGATCAAATGGAATTAAATTTAGGATTGTTTATGGAATTATAAAATCTGCATCTTAAGAAAGCCAAACCTTTGCGCAGTTTACATCAAGTGCATGTGCAACATTTCCTGCCACAGCTCCCCCCTGCAAGATTAGAAAAAAAAATTGACTTGGCTATACAGCTGATAAAGAGATTTTATACAAAATGTAATGCCAAGATCTTCTTATCTTTGTTAATCAGAAACACAAAGTCTGCCTAATGAGATCTTTTCATCGCCTACAGCATGATCTCCCTCTATAAAGAATTAGGAAAAGACGTTCAAGATTAGAGTTTAATCATATGTTATGCTTATAATTTTAGCCCCATACAGATAGGGAGCCGTTTTCAGGTGCTATTTCTATTTACATAACAGACATAAATTAAGACAAAGAGTATTTATTTGGAGAATAACTAAGAATAAGCACAAAAGTCGCAAGGAAATACTGGCTAGTGTGAGAAGTGAAATTGACTAGATTAACCAAATTGAATTCTAATATATATTTATATAGAAACATACATAATGCATAAAACTAAACAAATCCCAAACATACACAGCAGAGCCTTTTCTTCTTGGACTATTTCTAGCAGTTCTTTCTATTTCAAGAAGAAAAAGAACCACTACCTCATGAAAGATGCTGAGTGTGTGGCTTCAATATGTACCTGTGCATTGCTCCATGTATGCTTGTGTATAAAAGCTTTAAGTTTTCATATTAACTAGTGAATGTTCATGTACTGAAGAGTTTTTTTTTTTCCAGTTAAGAAATAACAAAAGACTCCTCAGGATGTGAACAATACACATATATTACAGCAATGCACTTACTTTTGCCTTTTGTGGCACATACAGTGGAACCAGTCGAGACAGAAGAGACCAGGGGGCAGGATTATCAGGGTAACTGGGAAAAGAACAATGACATTAGACTTCACGGTTTATCTATGAACCGGGTCTTCCATAACTCAGTATGCAGTTGCCATAATTCCCAAATGGATCTTGTTCTATTAAGAAAACATCTGCTGTGGCTGAAAATAGACATGGATAGTAATTTAAAGCAAATAATACAACACTGAAGTACATTTCTAGTTAAAGAAATGAAATGGACAATGTGCATATCAACATTCACGGGAAGAAAACAACTTCAGGGCTGAAGGTCTTGTTCTCATAGCATGAAGAGCAATGAATTTTAATTGCAGTCTGAGAAAAAAAATTGCATAAAGAAGAGTTCTGAAAACACTTGGAGAGACCGAGCTGTGTCTTACCTTAAGGCACTGAATAAAGTTCCCCCTTTCCAGAACGCATCTAAACAGACATTTATCCAACAGAATCAACAGCTTCAGAGGCTGTTTACTATTATATAAAAGCCCTTGAGACTTTTCTAGGCTGAAGTTTCTGCTACATATGATAAAAAATGCTTGCACAGAACAGTGAACTGATCTAGCTACTAAAGGAGCCATCAAAACAAAACCAGAAAACCTGTGAAAGAAAGCCATGAAACTTTTGCCATTTGATCCCATAAATCAGAAAGCAAGCTTCTGGCAGCTGATGCTGATATTCTCACCTTCAGTGAGAACACTGTGTTTGAAAATCAATTTAATTTTTTTTAATTTTTTCTTTTATTTTTTAGAAGAATCCTGTAATGGAACAAAAGTTTGCTTACTGTTCAATATAATCAAAACAATGTACTTATATGGGAATCCAAAGAAAGACAAAAGACATACCTGTGTATTGCTTTGGAGATTTCTCTCTGGACCCCCACATTTCTGCCTTGCAATGCATAAACAGCAGATGCAATAAGGCACCTCTCATAGATCTTATCCTTCCCTTTTCCATGTTTGAGTAATTCTTTCAGGGCTGCTGTTGCAAGCGTAACATCCTCCTTTACAAGTCCTAGTGTGCATAAAGCCATCAGACTTTCCATACTAGGTTCCTTTAATGAGCTTTTGAATAACAGAGAAGGAAAAAGACACTATTTTGGAGCACATTAAACTTACTGTTAACATTAGTGTACTTGTTACTTTTGAGTCTTCCTGCTGTTGTCGTGTGTAAGGTGTACAGAATTAACAGCCTGTCACTGTTGGCTTGTGTATGGTGTACAGAATTAACAGCCTGTCGGATCATGGATCAAGCTAGATCAGTATCCTTGAGGTCTCAGGATATGGAAAACAGAAGTGGTTGTGTGCCATTTCAGCACTCAAGCTTATCACTTGCAACTACTTGGCAAGACTCTGACACTTTAAGTGT